TTTAACCCTTTCGCGACTAGCGCCGGTTATATCCGGCATCCACTAAATGCTTCACACTGGCTAACGCCGGTTATATCCGGCATCCACTAAATGCTTCACACTGGCTAACGCCGGTTATATCCGGCATCCACTAAGCGCGTCGCATTGGCTCGCACCTCGGCAACTCAAAGCGAAGATTTATTTTGAAATACAGAACAAGCCCTCGACAACATTCCCTTTGTCCGATACACCCTTAAATCCTCTGCTGTTCCAACGAAATCCTCTAAGATTTGAAAAAACGCGAGACACTCTTAACGCGTATGGTGTGCACTAATGGCACGACGACCCGTTCGTTAGTGGCGTACCGATGGCTAGTTCCGCCGTCGCGAAAGGGTTAATGGAAGTTTAAACTTGAAGGATTGTACGAGCGAATCGGTGAGATCAGAAAGAGTATAAGTCAATATTAGTTAATTTTTCAGAAAGAAGAGAGTGTCTTTCTGAAAATTTAAGCAGAATATTTTTTGCAAAATTTTTATGGAATACGTATTTTCTTTATCAATAGTAGCGTATGATATTTTAATTTTGTTATCTTGTACTGTTTCCGCACTAAATTGCACAAAGTACAAAAAATTTACGAAACCATTGTGTTCTTTCTACTCTCACTCTGTAGATTATACGATTTGGCTGTTTATGCACTCGTCTGATGTATGCAAATGTGAGCAACATGTGATTCAGTGCACATCTCAATTTTCAGAAAAAAATTGGCCTAATTTATTTCCGATCTCGCCGATTCAATTGTAAACTTCTCTAAAATTGTGACAATCTCTTTCGTTCTATTTAAAGAGAACTACTTAATTCTCTTTGCAGTTCATAAAATACTCGGTACCTTGAAAATCTCTAATATAAAATACCCAAGTTTAAAAGCCACTATTAGATTTACGGTAATAAATTAAAAGATACTACTTTAATTATGAATCTTCTTTATTTCGATACGCGAGGAAGGCACGTCGCTACGCAATCAATCAAACAAACATCGACAAGACGCTGAGCGTCACCCATACTAAACAGATGGTTACTATGTTACTTCTATATATATATATTTATATTAATCTGTCTCTCAGTAATGTTGATCATTTTTGCTGTTACTATTACACAGACAGATACTCATTTCTCCTAATAATCCAACAGCCACTTTGGTCAAACAATAATTCTTCCATTCTACCAAAAAGTGATTCAAAGCCGTAAGAGTTCTTTTTACTCTCCAAGTTTAAAGGTCACTTCAGTGGAAGAATAATTGTCCAATTCCAAGCAATAATTAAAAACCATCAGAACTCAGAGATATCGAAATAAATGTTACTTTTACTTTACCGTCATCGACAAACGTGCTGTTAACACAGCCTTAAAACGAAAGACCATCTGCTTACCTGCCGGATTCAATCCCCCCGTGTTGGCAGGTGTGGCAAGGCCTCCAAGGCCCAGAGCCGCGAGTCCAGCCAACGGATTGCTACCAAGCTTACCCATCTGTAACAACGACGAACAAAATCCAACGTTCAACAAAAACACGTGTCGCCTCTTGACGATCGTTCTTTTTTTTTTTAAAGAGAAGTGCTTCAGGGGATATACGAAGACACCGATACAAAATATATCTAAAAGAATGAAAAAAAAAAAAAAAAAAAAGAAGGAAAGTATCAATCTGCCTGCTTCCTCGCGCGTCTCACATTCGAGGATCGTCGAATGAAACGGTTATAGAAAAAAGAAGGAAAAAAAAAAATTAAAAATCGAGTAATAAAAAACGACCAACAGAAAAATAGTACGATAAATAAAACGACAAGGTACACGTCTCCAGGACGAGAAGAAACAGAGAAAAGAAAGAGAAAGAAATTCTCGAAAATTGATCCATCGATCGTTACTATATCAGCTCGCGATTTTCTTTATTTTCTGTTTCCATAGTCTCTTCGATCCCGACCAGTTAGGATGTCCCGACTTCCTGGGACCCGATCCAAAACAACCAAGAGCATCGACACACTTTTCTTCGTCGGATATTTTTCCCACAATTTTCTTTTTTTTTTTTCGTCACGTCTCTCGATCACTTTTCTTTTTTATTTTTCTGAAAAATCTCACGCTCTTCTCAAGAGCTCACGCACACTCGCGTACACGCAGAAAAGTAGATACGTTTTCACAGACACACACACACATGATAAAAATCCCACGCGCGTAGAACGGAAGAGAAAACAAAAAGTACAGTGAAATTATTCGAAGGAACGTAAGAGAAAACGCGAGGCGTTCTGCACGCGAGACGAACGTCAGTCGACCTGATCGATCCTGAAATTCAAATCCGCCGGTCTCGTTTGAATTTCCTGCCGCGGATACTTCCGCCATTCGGTCGGTCAGCTCGCGGAGATTTTTGCTGTTCAGTTCACCGTTCAAACGAATTTTCAGATAAAGAGGCGAAAAAGGGAACCTATTGAATTAGACTGAATCTTGTGGCAACGAAAACTACGTTCGGTAAATTACTACGAATTAAAGGGACTGATCTAGAGATAGAGAGATAGTTTGGTGGTTGAATCGCGACTGCCAATAATGATCGATCTACGGAGGACGGTGATCTTGCGACGATCTAGTTTTCGCGTTCTGCACAAGTTTTTTCGGGGGAAATCGCTGTTTAAATGAGAAAGTTTGGTCAACCCACTATAACTGGATTTTTGATTGTTCGTTGATTCGGATGTAATCGGTTAGAGACGATGCTTTTTTTAATAAAAATTGAGAAAATTTCAATAACGAAGAAGATAAAATTGATTTCTATTTTTATTTAGAAATTTATACTTGGCAACGATATTTTCCACTAGAAACTAAGAAAATTCCAATAACGAAGAAAATAAAAAACTAATTTTCTGTTTATATTTAGGAACGACATTTCTCGCTGAAAATAGAGAAAATGTCGATGACGAGGAAAATAAAGAAACAAATATTTATTTATATTTGGAAAGGATATTTGTGACTAGAAGCTGAGAAAATTCCAACAACGAAGAAAATAAATCAAATTTCCGTTCATTTACATTTAGAAATGACATTTTTCAAATATAAGCGAATCGAGAAACCAGAACGAAGAATACTCCGATAATTACCGAAGTAATCGATAAATTTTCATTTTCCTAATAGCTAAATTTCTCTTTTAACAGATCCTCCCGTTTAATTATCGATTTTTCCGAATACCGACTGAAATTACCAAGCTCGGAGATAAAATTGCAAAAAATAGAAAAGCTTCAAAGAGACTCGAAGCGAAAAAGGCAAAAGTCTTTCAAGTGCAAACGATTAAATAAATGACATGTCACAGAGGGTTTGATAAAGAAAGAAAAAAAGAAAAACGAAAAGAAGAAACAAACTACTTTTTACTGATTACAGAAAAAAGAAGAATATGTCGATATCACTCGAGAACGTTCTTCTCCGTCGTCTGTTATGCTCTAGCAAGAGACTGGTTACGAACGAGTTACTCGGCGTATGTGTATAGCAATGTACAGCTTTTGGTATTCTGGAGATCGCTTTGCGCTATTAGGGACCGGAAGCCGAGGAATCCAGGACACTTTGTGATCCGGCTGGAGAATACCGTCTAGAACACAGCGGCGTACTATATATATTACGAGGTCGGTTCGAGAACTCGATTCCTCACCGCGAAGATTCTCTGGAAATCAATCGACTCCAGTCGACTGTGACATTAAGTCTAGCGAAAATTATGTAATTTGGGGCGTATATACGGTGGAACGACCTCGGGGGGGAATAACAGAGAGAGAAAAGAGAAGAATGAGAAGGAGGGAAGAGATTTGTCACAGCATGCATCTACGTATCTTTTCGAATTTTGGAAATTAGTTTCTTTTCTCGTTAGTTACCATTCTTTTTCTTTTTTTTTTTGCATCTACGTATCTTCTCTAACTTCGAAAATATTTTTCTGTTTCCTTGTTACAGTGGTCCCTTATCTCGTTTTTCACATATTAGAAAATTTTGAAAATTAATTCCTTTTCTCATTAGTTACACCTTGTTTCTGCATCCACGTATCTTTCCCAGTTTTGAGAATTTCTTCATTATTTTTCTTATCACGGTTGGTTCCTTATTTCTTTCCCGATATACTTTGAAATTTAATTTCTTTTCTCATTGGTTACGTTCTTTTTTCTTTTTGGATCCACGCATTTCCTCTAATTTCGAAAATTTTCTCGTTATTTTTCTTATTACAGCGATTCCTTACTTGATTTTCTATACGTTTTGAAACTTAACATCTTTCCCAGTTTTGGAAATTTTTCATTCTTTTTCCCTATATCTCCGCGAACTTTTCTTCCGACTAAAAATTATTCCAATAAGTGCAACATTAACCGAGACAATAATTCTAACTCCTTTTTTCATTATATTCACATTTACCTTGCGTCTATGTATTATATTTCCTTCAATTTTGAAAACTTTTTCCTTTCTCCCTCGTTACAGAGATTTATCACTTTTCACTGTAAATAATTCCAACGTTCTTCTTTTAACTTTCGAAAATACCTTCAGGTCGAGTGTACAAAATGATTAAAAAATTACAGAAACGTTAGATTTGTATCTGGAAAATATTCAAGTCGAATTGAAAAGCTATTTATCATTTTTAAGGCTCGAATGGTGATTCGCGTTCGATTCGGATGCTCGAGCCAGACACGAAATCAGCCGACCCATTTTTCTATTTATACTGTTCGCGTATTAATTATGAGAAACGGCCGGCAGCACGGAATTATTCGCGCGATCGATGAGTTCGCTCGGGTCGCTTCGAAACTTCAACAGCATCCACAGCTTCTCCGCCAACTTCCGTGAAATTTCGCGCATACTGCGAATAAGCAGCCTCCCTTCTCTCCTACGCTTTTCCTCAGACAAACTTGCGAACTCGTTTACTTCGTGTGCAAAATAACGAACGATTTTTGCTGTAAATTTCAACCGTTTCGGAGACTGCTCGCGCTTTGAATTGATGAGATTTTACTGTTGAGATATTTCCAACAGGATTTATACGATTTTCCAAACTTTGCTAAGCTAAATGTGTTTTTTTTTTATTCGTGAAAATAAACGACGCGTCGAAAAGTTTCAAGAATTACAAAGTAATTAGGGATTTGTTAAAAATCTTCGTTAATATCGAACGTTTCTTAACCCCTTAACATATGGCAACGTCTCAGACTCGTGGCAGAGATTCTGGCGAAGATGTGAGAAAAATAGTTAGATTAGTAAGAAAAAGTAACTGTAATACTGATTTTCGTTTGAATTTGTAAGACTGAGGATCGCTAAATGTAATTTATTTGTCACAGATTAGTTTCTGTTACCTGGTACGGTACTAAAGCAGAAAATGGCTGACGCTTAGATGCACAGTCAGAAAAGAAATCATACGTTAAGGGGTTCAAGTTTCTTCTTGATTCGGAATTATAAAAATTCTTCCATTTTGCAATGTAGCTTTTTCAAAGAAATTTTCTCGAATCGTGAAAGCAAGAATAGTGTGACTGAAGAATTAGGTTTAGATAAATCGTTCTTATAATTCGATCATTTGTATGCTTTCCTTTAATCCTGTCAGAAAAGTGTTACTTTTCTTAATTCATAAGGTTCGTCTGGGAATTTTTAAACAATTTACACTGACGTTCGTAAGTACTATGATTTGCACAGAAAGTAGAAAGTATGTGATCGAAATTACACTTCTTCGCAAAAGCTGGAATCATATATCATTAAAAATATACGAATCAAATATACGCTCATATTCGCTAAAAATATTTATTATAAATTATGAACATTATAAAATTAATTAAAAATATTTTCTTCGATAATTTCTTAGAGAATCTCAATGATTCTGCAATGACCCTTCAAATTTGCATTAGGTACATTCAGCAAGTGTCCCAATGCTCACGAACAAGAGAGTATATTTAAAAATTTTCACAATTTACTCGAATAAGTATCATTACACTGAAAAAAATTCCCCTAATTTACTCAAAAAAAAATTGAACAATTTATGTCAAAATTATCTTCCGTAATTTCAATTTTATTCAAAATGAAAAATTCCCATAATTCACTCAAGCAAAAGTATCACTGCACTGCAAAAATTTCTTCAAATTTACTAAAAAAGAAAAATTGAACGATTTACGTGGAAATGATCTCCCATTATTTTCTCCAGAATGGAAAATCCCGCTGATTAAACAGACGCAGCAGTTCTGAAACCGTTCGAATTCCAATTCACCGGGGCGAACTCATCGAAATAGTAAAACTCGTAACGCCGTCTCGTCGGAGCGTAGCGAACCAATGTAAAAGCCGCTAATTACAATGGAATCTCTCCCGTCGAGTGAAACAGAAACTGCAGCAAACGACTAATTGCTGCTGGATCGTAAGAGTGGTACGTAAATGCATACTCGTGATAACGATATACAAGTATATACATATACATAATCAAATCGAGATAAACGAACAAATAAAAAATACAAAAAAGAAAGAAACAAACGAAATAAAAAATATAGAATGCATTCTCTCTTGCTCCT